CGTCTAGGGCGCTCCTTGGCGCAACGACAGGAACCTTACTGCTGCGCGGCTCATCACCGTCAGCTGGAGCATCGTCGTCGCCATCCTTTTCAGGCATGGCGAGAGGAGAAACGATGTGTAGGAAATGAAGACAGCCACTACAACTACGCCTGTGTCGAAATGAACAACATGAAGGATTTCCCCTCTAAAACCTGAAGCAGTGCGTTCGAAGGTGGTGGGTAAGGAACAACTGGAGAAGAAGGGGTCCATCAAACCCGTGTCGCACCTTTCTTGAAAGGCGTGACGCGGTTTCGGGACTTGTCCATGCACAACACAGCGCCATGCTGCGTAGTCGATGTGTTGGCTGCAACTGCAGCCAATGGGGATGATGGCCAACCTCTGCAAGGCTGGCACAGAGGGCACGGGGCATGGGCCCGAGGTTCGCGCATGCACAGAGAGCAACAGAGCAGAATCTGTGGTCCTTAGTGGCTCGGCGTGGCAGCATTTTTGCTGCGCTGGGTAGCAGAGTGCCCACTGTGGGCAGAGTATTTGATTGGACTTGGCGGATTTTTCAAGGAAGTGTGGATTCTCCACGTGACGCGGGCGGGAATCACGGATGGCATGCGAAATTTCTAGGGATCTTGCGTGCCCCGTGGAAATCTGTTTCAGGGTTGGTACCCGATGTACTCTGAAAACTCAGTATTGGGTTAGCGTGAACTCTGATTTTTTCATGATCCCTAAAGTCTAAGTCTGAATCGATCAGGATTGGGAAAATGCCTTATCTGGAAATTCAGGTTTAGCCAAAAAACCGGTCTGAGATTTCAGACTAATCAGAGTAAATAGTCTGATAAAGTCAGCCCTGGGACCCACTTGTTTGTATTAAGACTAGAAAGAATGAATAGAAGAAGGGAGAACAGGGGAGAAATAGCGTTTGGGTTGTACCCACTAAGAACATACCCTATCTAGCCTATAACTTCTACATAATAATATATGTATAAATTGACAGTTCGGTCAGTCAAAATGGGTCTAAATTTTTTCCGTGTCACACCCCATTGAACCGCGCTGTATAGGTTCCTCAATAAGTTTCCCACCCGCTCTCACGCTCAGGTGATGGCACAGCAGCAGTGGTAAAAAAAGAGGGTAGCTCTCGTCTATGCTACTCGAACTCATGCGTTTTGGTTCAAAAGTGAGGTTGAAAGTTTCGGGGGGGGGGGGGGGGGGGGTATTCAAATAATCGCAGGCAAAAAAAACGGGTGTTATGTATATCCAGTTTAATTAGGCACCCATGTCCGCTCAAGTCACCCATGGGAGTTCAATTTTGCGGGGTGCTGTATACGGGGGAATACGGTACTAGTTGAGTCGTCCCGTGACCAGGGCCTCAGCTAGGATTTTGGGCATCCTGTCTACTCAGGGCTAGGCCTTGAAACCACGTGTACTGGTCAGGGTTGGACATCAATGTTCATACTGTTTTGTCAGGGTTGGCATCCAGCACTTAACTGCAGCCTCAGGGTAATCTTCAAAACAGCCCAAAATGTTGCTTTAACTATACTAATAGCAGTATAACACCAAAGACAATCAATATTCACAGTACAACAGCGTACATGTGGCTTGACTCAGAAATTTCCACCATCCTCATCATCACTAGAACTAAACCCGCTGCTGGAGCAGCTGTTCTCATCGTCCGCTCGTGCCTCATCATCATCATGCTCCTCTTCGGACAACACCACCACTTTCTCTTTGCCCTTGGCAGACTTCCTCGCACGCACTTCGCTCTGGTGGGCCCTCCTTGGCCGTCTCTTCTTCATGCCGCGCCACACCTCAATGACCCTATCCCAGTTCATGTCATACTCCAGCAAACTCATGCACATCAGATCCTCCAGCTTCCCGTTGCACAGACTCGTCCGGTTCCAGCTCTTAATCACATTTTGTCGCGAGAATCCCCTCTCGCACTCAACAGTGCTCAGAGGAAGCACTGCCACAGCCACCCACAGGCGCACGAGATTCGGGTAGCTGCGCGGCCAGTCGCTGGTCTCCAGGATGGCTGCAAGTCCGGCATGGAATGGCTGCTCCTCTTTTGGCACACCAGCAAGCACTGGCACGAGGGTGTTGAGTTCCTTGCGTGCCCGCTTGTCGACTCCTGCCAGACACATACAGGAACAGCAACACTCGTAAATCAGCGCAGGGATGTGGAGGCATCAGGAACCAGAGCAATGTACTGCAATATTTCAGCAAGTTGGGCATATAATATCCATTGGCATGGATCACCTTACCTGGCAGAATTTCAACGCGGTCGCTGGCGTGGAAGAGCTCGACCACGCTGTCAAAGTGCTCGGCGCACTCCTCGTCCCTCGCCTCCGTGTTCCGCGGCCATGTTCGGGGCATCCACAGCTTTGACCCATTGAGCCGCTCAAGGTCGCCGAGCCGGAGCTGCACGTTGTAGACGAGCTCGGTCGCGTACGAGCGACAGGTGAGCGTGCAGGAAGCTTTGTCGCCGCGGGCAGTGGTGTAGTTTGGCAGCGGCTCCTCGTGAAGTTCGAATTGATGCACTCGCTCCACTCCGTCTGCATCAACGCCCTGCACGATCACATTTCGGCTGCTGGCGTGGCGCTCCAGAAACTTGGACAGGCGATCGCTGTTCGTGCCGAAGTTAGGCCCGCAGTTGACGTAGCGCGAACGAATGAAGACGATCGTTCGCCGTACCTGCGACTGCACGCCCGTCAGGTCGATCTGTAGGAGGGTGTCGTGGGATGAAAGAAGAACAAGAGGCGGTAAGTATTTTTTTTATTGACGGCAGTATGTTTTTTGTTTGAATTGGTTGGAAACCATTGCAACCGCAGTGGCTCACCTCGCGCTTCTGGAACAGCAGATTGAGGCTGTTGAGCTCCTCGTGCATGTCGGCGAGGAAGTACAGGAAAAAGTGAAACTTGTACGATGTGACGATGTGGTACATGGGTTTGTCGTAGAGGTGCAGTAGAACGATGACGGCAGGAAGCACCGCCACCAGCCTCAGAATGGCGCCGCCACGACTGAGCCACCGAACAAGGTGAATCCCTTGCATCTCCAGATTTGTCGCCGTGAAGATCTTTTGGAGCTCCTTGAACATCTTGTGCCAGTTGTGTGAACGCCCCAGCAGCTTAGCAACCGCGCGGATGATGGCATCCACAATTCCCAGCTCAGGCAGCGCGTTGGCAGCATCTCTGGCAGCGAGGGCTTCCCTGGATGGACGGGAGTAGAAACACAACGAAACAGTGGCTAGTGCACGGTTTTCTAAACGGGATATGAAGTCTATGCATGAACGAACAGGTGCGCTATGCAGTGGACAGAAACCACATGCGGGATCCGCTGTCGAAGGCGCCCAACGACCCCGTTCGTGGCTCCAACCATCACTGCGGCACCGTCGGTGCTGATGCCCGACACCTTCGAGAGATTGATGCCGATGCTATCGAGGTAAGCGACAAGAGAGCCTTCCAGAGAAGCTGCATCACATTTGTCGACAGGAAGAAGCGTTAGAAACTCTGTGACAACGACGCGCTCGCGAAGGAACGTAGCAAACACAATCATGTGTTTGCCACGAACTCTGTCGGTACTCTCCTCACAGCTCAAGCCAATGAACGGGCTTGACTCCAAGTACTCCCGTTGACGAGCTCGAAGGTACATGGCTGTCGACTTGGTTAACTCCTGAAAGCCATACCTGCGCAAACCATGCAGGGAGATTAGTACATGCGAGAGATCAAGACATGTTAAAGTAAACGAATAAAACACCCAGGGACTTACGTTGTGAAGTAAGACCCGTAGCCTCGTTTGGGAAAACCAGGAGTACGTCGCTTCGAGAGGTGCCGCACGAGTTGCACCCACATCTCGATGGGCGCGTCGGACTGACAGATGAAAAGCAGAGTCTCCAGCAGTGCAGTAACACGCTCGCGCTGGACGGTATGTGTTTTCGCCAAGTCCTCCATGCGCAGCTGCCCCTCAGCGATCGCAGTGGCGGTGGCTTATCTCCGCATCGCTCTCTTGTGCTTCCGCGTGCGCTGGTGGTTCTGCATTGCTTGCGTCTGGACGTCGGTCGCACCTTCTCCGCCCTTGCCGTAGTTTGTTCCGGGCCCGCCATGTTCCATGCAAATCTTACACTTCAAAGCCGGGAATCCTGCACGGGTCTGATTAAGCACAAGCCAAGGAAAGTCAGTACTCCACCGCTTTTTAAATTGCTAGAGAGCCTCCTGGTACTTTCGTTCGGCCACGTCTTCAAGTTCGGTGTCTGATGACGAAGTCGGAGCTGCAGATGGTCCTGAAACAACGGGAGGGACGACATGCAGAGTCGGAGCGGGAGTGTTTTGCGACCGCCCGAAACTCAGGGTTGCCTGCCGATAGCGTGAGGGCTCGAGCTTCTTCGACGGCGGTCCAATACGGGTCGACCCTTGATTCAAAGACGTGCGGGGCGTAGTGCTTCGCTGAGGTGGTGTAGCTACAGCAGGGCGAGATGCCTCCTCTACTACTTCTGCGGTGTGCGTTCGAGGGGGAGGTGCCGATGCGGGAGGATTTCTTTTCAGTAAGTCTAATCCTGTCACGGCACCAGGGTGGGACGCTGTAGAAGGATCATCGGGAGCCTCCTCCTCGTCGTCAGTTCCTGACGCGAGCATAGTGCCCCCTAACGAGGGGGCGGTTCACAGCAGAGAAACAGACCAACGAGCACAAGCTCTGTCGTCTAGAATGGTTGGATGATTTCAAGTTCAACCAAGGCATGAAAGGGAGCTGTGGGGAGGAAGGACCATCGGAGGAAGGCATGAAAGGGAGCTGTTCTGTCGAGACGCGGGAGTTTGGTCCTCCCCACATGGAGTGCTTGGCCATCCAAACATCCCTGCATGCAATGCTGCTTCAGCGAGTGGACCGCAGCACGCCAACACCTTCTGAGGCCATGTTTCTCGTGGTACACCCGTAGCGCCCCCCCTGAAGCCAGATTCGAGGTATCAGGGTTATCCCCGAATTCATACTGAGCACTCAGGGCTGGTACACGAACACTATACTGAGTTGTCAGGGTTGTCATATGATATTCATACTGAATTTACAGGGTCAGAAATTCATTTAACCGGATTTTTCAGGTCTGGCACCTCATACTCATCCTGAAAATCAGGAATTCAGGATAAAACATCCTGATATCTGAGGCCCTGCCCGTGACCCTATTCTTTCTACTTGACCTGATTCTGATTGCCTGGACCACACTAATCACTCACTCACTCATCCCTTCCCCCCGACTGCTCGACCCGATCCTAATTGCGTTGGCCACCTCCTCCTCGATGTCATGCCCCCGCGTCTCATCGATCTCCCTGTCGATCCTCCGGGCCATCTTGTCGCCCGCCATGCCGCTGGCCTCCTCCCGGATGCCTTCGAGCTCCGCCAGCACTTTGATCATGTTGGGGCGCGATGCCGTCGGCATGGCCGTGCAGCTCAGCGCGAGGCGGGCCAGCCGCAGGATGATGTCCGCCGGGGCATCCAATGCCGGGTCCTTGAATGTCACTCCGTCGTTGGCCGCAACAAATGGCGCCACCTGGGTGGGGGACAGGGTGGGGGGGAGGAGAGAAGGAGGGGATGGGGGGGGGGAAGAGGGGAGAAGCGGGCGATGGCTGACGGGATGAAGTTTTGCGCGACGAGGGACAGATGGAGGATGCACGAAGGTGAGTGCGTGAGAGTCGTGGTGTGCGTGTGCGCATGGATTCCCACAGCACCTGAGTGGTAGTGCATGCATGCATGGAAGCAAGCATCGGCATGTGGACAGGCACGAGCATGGGCAGAGAGGAATGTGCTGCACTGACCCATTGCTTGAGGTTGATCTGGCTGTCTTCAGTGTTGTAGACGGCCTTGCGCGCCGTTAAGATAGTCAGCATCACAACACCAAAGCTGAGAGAGACGGGGGGAGTGGATGATGTGGGGAGAAGGATGTGTAAGGGCAATGGAACGGATAAGGAGCAGCACGTAGTGGAAAGAAGCGCGCATAGGAGTAGCACATGTTTCCTTGGAGCTCAAGGAAACTCCAGAAAACTGAATCAGTATTACGCAAGTCAGCCGTACACCCATACCTGTGCACATCAGCCATACCTGTGCACACCACCCATACCTGTGCACATCACCCATACCTGTGCACATCATCTTGTACCCCTCCTTACCTGTGCACATCAGCCAAGGGGGTGGCCTTCTGTGACTTGTAGTAAGCGGGGTCCACATAGCCCGGTGTGCCCATCACTCGAGTGGCTCCCACCGTGGTGCCTTCGCCCATCCTCACCAGCCCAAAGTCTGCAACCTTTGCCTGCAATGGACGGCACCGCCAGCCAACGGAAAAGAAACAAATGCAGCCTTGTACGAAGATGCACCATGCGTGCGTGCTGCCCACGATACAAGTGGGTAACCAGCTGTACAAGGGTGTTGCATACCAAGCAAGTGCATTGCACACATACATACACGTAACACCAATGCAGCCATAGCTGCATGCACACACCTGCAAGTTGCTGTCCAGCAGGATGTTGGCGGGCTTGATGTCGCGGTGCACGATGCCGAAGCTGTGCAGGTACTGCAGCCCCTCCGCCATGCCGATCATCACGTCCACTCGCTGCACCAGCGACAGCGGCCGCGCCGCACCTGCAGTGATGTAGGATGCAATACGCAATCGAAGGCAGGGAAGTGCAAGGGAGAGAGAGGTACTTGCACTGCACAAGTGAGAGCACCCGGGCAGCACCTGCAGAGCTTGGCATGCGATACGCAAAGACAGACATGGAAGTGCGAGACTGGTAGAGAGGTAGTGGCAACAAAATCCCCGGTAATGGCATGCCCATATGGAACAACGAGTGATACGGCTCCCTGAAGGAATCCAACACCAACAGCACACAGCATACTTCAGAACCTCAAGCAAACGTCAGCCCAGAGTGAGGCGAGCATAGTCAAAACGTACCTACATGCAATGCAAGCCAGGCACTAGAAGAAGTGGGCACAGCACGTTAACACACCTGGCCCCAGCCACCTCTCGAGGTCGCCATTAGGCATGAACTCGTAGATGAGGATCTGCTCCGTCTGCTCCGTGGCTTCATTCACGTCAATGCAGAACCCCAGCAGGCGCACCAGGTGCGGGTGGTGCTTCGACGCCATCTCGTTCACCTAATTGCACATGGAGAGCGGGCAGCAGGGAGGAGAGAGAGGGCAGGCACGTGCACAAGGGAGGCGTACCTTAACAGGAGGGACGGCAAGTGCCCTTTCCCAGCAACCACCTCTCTCCTTGCGGGAAGCATTGGTGAGCACACTACTCATCAACTACTGCTCATGCATTCATCCCACTATCCCCACACACCTCCCGGCGAAAGTCATTGGTGAGCACTTTAGCGCGCTTGACAGCCCACAGCATGGACGGGTCGGCAGGGTCGTGAGCGCGGTACACATCCCCGAACCCCCCGCTGCCGATCTTGTTGGCCTCGGCCCACGTGCCCGTCGCCGCCGCCAGCACCTCCAGCCGGTACTGCCGGCACAGCGCCGGGCCCCCTACGCCCCCTCCTGCCACCACCAGCGCTTGGCCGGACCCCGAGGGGTCCTTGGAGCCACTTGTGGAACCTGAAGGGGGAATAGCAAGAGAGGGAGGCAGGGGAGGGTGGGGCGGGAGCGGTAGGTGGAGGTTTTTCTTTCTGATCTTTCAGAAAACACCTACAACAACGCGAGGGTTGGGCGGGGGTGGTGGGCGTGAAAGAGTGTTGAGTGGACAAGGGGAAGAGGTTTTGGGGTGCTGGGTGGGGTGGTAAAGAGGGCAGGATGACAGTGGGCGAGGAAGAAGAGAGGGCAGAGGACTGATGGAGCAGGCAGGCATTGAGGAAATACCTTGTTACTGGGTTAGTGTAGGCACACATAGCTTTTTGCTCATTCCCCTTGTTGTCCTCAGGTTCGATTTGGAACGGGTAGTGCAGTGCTAGTGAGGTGTGGTGTGAAAGGGTAGGACTGGACTCTCAGCCCCCTCAAAAGTCAGCTGCACCCTGGCGGATGTACACCAAACCCTTATTGTGGTTCCGCAACTGGTGCTACAACACACTTGTGTTGTAGCCGGAAACTGGTGCTGCTGGGGACTCTGGTTCACCAACCCTAACCTCCGTACCTGATGCACCACCACCAGCCGCAGCAGCTGCCGCAGCAGCAGCAGCCGCGGCGGCATTAATTGGCGGCTGCGGCTTCGGTCTTGGCCTGCAGAAGAGCAGCAGAGGCAGCAGCAGCAGCACGGCGAGCAGGGCAACGCCCGCCACTGAAATGCCAGCAATGGCCCCCACTGACAGCCCCGAGGAGGAGGGCGGAGGGGGGGGGCTGGAAGGGGATGACGGAGAAAAGGGCGGTGCGGTGGGAGGGGGAGAAGGGGGAGAAGGGGGAGGGGGGGAGGGAGATGGCGGATGGGGGGGAGGTGAGAGGGGAGGAGCGGGAGGTGGGGGAGAGATGGGTGGCGGTGGTGGCAGTGGTGGTGGGGATGCCGGCGGGGGGCTGACTGGTGGCGATGGCGGAGGGAGCTTGAAGAAAGGTGGAAGAGCTGCGATGGAGCAGGGTGGGGAGCCAGGGGGTGGGGGGGAAGGGTGGGGTTTGATGGACAGGAACTGGTAAAGGAGACAGAGGATGAGGGCAGGAGACATGGCCTTGCTGGTAGGCTGGTCGCGACAATGGAGATGATTAGGATGGCAAAGAGAAGGTGGAGAAGGCGAGCGCACATGAGATGGTTGAGGCGGCCCAAGCACGCACTGCCCATGGCACGCTCTCCTGCTCTTTGAAAGCGTCTGTCTGCCTCAAACTGCAGTGTGGAGGCCGGGGGTCGTCCCTCACAGAACAGCGCCACATAAACAAGCCTGGCACAGCGCACTCGGCCTCAGTCAACACTCACTCCGCCTGAGTTGTCACGAGCACCGTGGCACGGGCACAAGCATGGCGCACTCACTCTGCACGAAGCAGAAGACACAGAAGTCAGGGCACGCGATGCAGTACGGCACGAGGATTGCGGCACCCGCTGCCTTCAGGGGTCCGCACTGCCACTTCACGCTCGGCGGACACACCACCGAGCCTGGGGGGTCTTGCAGGAACTCACTGGGGGGGATGGGGGTTAGAGGGGGAAGAGGGGGAAGGGGGGAAGGGGGGGAGGAGGAGGAGGAGGAGGAGGAGGAGGAGGAGGAGGAGGAGGAGGAGGAGGAGGAGGAGGAGGAGGAGGAGGAGGAGGAGGAGGAGGAGGAGGAGGAGGAGGAGGAGGAGGAGTCAGGTGGAGTTGCCTGCGGAAGAAAGGACCTCCCTTGTTTGCAAACAAGGAAATTTCGGCATACGCAACAGGCGGAAAGGGATGGGGGTGGGTTTGGTGGGGGGGCTTTGAGGCGGCTTTGAGGGGGGGGAGTAAGAGGCACGGCTTGAGCAACGGGTCGGTTCGGGTCGGGTAACCCGACCCAAACCCGAATTTTTGACGGGTTGGGTCAGGTTTCCCAGAGGCAGAACCCGACCCGTCGGGTTTGATTTTTTACCCGTCGGGTCGGGTCGACCCGAACCCGACACGTACGGGTTGACCTGACCCGACTTCGGGTAAACATCGTTGGGTTGACCCGACCCGAACCAGCCCGAACTCGGGTCGGGCCTTGAACCGACGCGATCTGCGCGACCAGAGTTGCACAGATCTGGAAAGTCTGATCATTTGGTCGAATTTTCGACCAAATGGGTCATTTCCCAGATCCTACTTAGGCTAACTCCCATTTCTACCCTGCATCCAGCTCATTCCTACCACTGATCTACTCCCCACCGTGCTTATTAGTACAGCTTAGGGCATAGGCAGATCCAGATCGATTTCGATTGGATCGACTCAACCAACACACCTATTCAACAAACAAACTCGACACCCCCAACCCATCCGAATTTCGCCAACACCCCAAACCCACCCAATTTTCGCCAACACCCACAACCCACCCAAAATCTCGTCAACACCCTTAAACCAGCCAAAATTTCGCCAACCATTTTTTCGCAAAACACTCCCAACCAATCCAACACCCATCACGTGACTGGTTTTCGCCAACATCCAACCCACATCTCGAGGTTGTGGATGGGAGGATGAGGTGGGTGCATGGGCTAGACACTAGGAGGACATACTGGATCTCGAAATTACGCGATCCATATGTTTCCCTCAGGAGAAAATACTTAGGTCGGGTCAAGTCGGGTCGGGTCGGGTTGGATTGACCCGACCCGACCACGGGTAAGAGGTAACCCGACCTGTTATGGTCGGGTCGGGTCGGCGAAATCCTAGGATCGACCCGTCTTGACCCGACCCGACCCGACCCGAACCCGACATCGGGTAGGGCAAAGTCGGGTCGGGTCGGGTTATGCTCAAGCCGCGTACATGTTCTCGAGCTTAGTGAGGGCGGCCATGGAGGCGGGCAGGTAGCCGGTGAGGGTGTTGTGCGACACGTTGCTGCCGACGCGGGGTGGACGGACAGGGAGCGGTTCGGTGAAAGGAGGGACGTGGGGGGAGATGGGTGATGTGGGGGATAAGACATGAGAGAACCGGGATAAAAGTGCGTGAAAGGCAAGCAGGCAGACAGGAAAAAGGGGAAATTGAAAGGGGCGGGCATGGATGGAGGAGATGAGAGCCGAACAGGCACATGGATCGGAGAAAGGCAAAGGATGCAGAGGATGCAGAGGATGCATAGGATGCATAGGATGCATAGGATGCACTGGATGCATAGCAGTGAAATTACAGCACAGATGGCAGAGCCCTGTGCGTGAAGAAAGAGAGAAACTGTTAATAGTTCTGGACAGCAGGCAAGCGAAGGGAATTGTTTGTGACTGACAAGGTGGTGAGGTTGAGGAGATTGCCGATAGTCGTTGGAATGGGGCCTGAGAGCTTGTTGCTCGCCACTCCACTGCCATTGCACCATGTCCCCCACGCCCCATGCCCCATGCCCCATTCCCCATGCCCCATGCCCCATGCCCCATTCCCCATGTACCATGTTCCATGCCCCATGGACCATACCCATCCCGTGGGCCACATTCCATAACCCAGGGCAGTATCACAGGGGCACACACCAAGCAGGCATGTGAGGGAGCAATCAGTGGGCGAGGCAGAGAGGAAACGATCTTAGGGCTGGTACATGAGAGTATGCATGTGCCAGTATGTTTGCACCTTTATGTGCATGTGCATGTGCATGTGCGTGTGCATGTGCATGTGCGTGTGCGTGTGCATTTGCGTGTGCGTGTGCATTTGCGTGTGCATGTGCATGTGCGTGTGCATGTGCATGTGCGTGTGCGTGTGCGTGTGCGTGTGCATGTGCATGTGCGTGTGCATGTGCACGTGCGTGTGCGTGTGCATGTGCATGTGCATGTGCGTGTGCATGTGCGTGTGCGTGTGCATGTGCATGTGCGTGTGCATGTGCACGTGCGTGTGCGTGTGCATGTGCGTATGCATGTGCATGTGCGTCTGCATGTGCACGTGCGTGTGCATGTGCACGTGCGTGTGCATGTGCACGTGCGTGTGCATGTGCATGTGCATGTGCACGTGCGCGTGCGTGTGCGTGTGCGTGTGCATGTGCGTGTGCATGTGCACGTGCGTGTGCATGTGCACATGCATGTGCGTGTGCAAGTGCACGTGTGTGTGCGTGTGCACATGCGCGTGCATGTGCGCGCGCGTGTGCACGTGCGTGGGCGTGTGCACGTGCATGTGCATGTGCGTGTGCCTGTGCGTGTGCACGTGCGGGTGCATGTGCATGTGCACGTGCGTGTGCACGTGCATGTGCACGTGCATGTGCGTGTGCATGTGTGTGTGCATGTGCATGTGCACGTGCACGTGCGTGTGCATGTGCGTGTGCATGTGCGTGTGCATGTGCATGTGCGTGTGCATCTGCATCTGCCTGTGCATGGGCATACGCATGTGCGTGTGCATGCGCATGTGTGCGTGCATGTGCGTGTGCGTGTGCATGTGCGTGTGCATGTGTGTGTGCATGTGCACGTGCGTGTGCATGTGCACGTGCGTGTGCATGTGCGTGTGTATGTGCACGTGCATGTGCATGTGCATCTGCCTGTGCATGTGCATGCGCATGTGCGGGTGCATGAGCATGTGCGTGTGCCTGTGCGTGTGCATGGGCACCAATGACTGACAAGTGGTTGAGTCCCTTGAGCTGGCCAATGGCACTGGGAATAGACCCTGTGAACTGGTTGTACTGAACCGCTCTAGTAGAAAGAGTGGGGCATTGGGAGTCATGGAGGGGGAGGGCAAATTGGGAAGGGGAATTCTGAGTTTGGGAAGGGGAATTCTGAGTTTGGGAGGGGAATTCTGAGTTTGGGAAAGGGAATCCTGACATTGGAAAGGGGGATACTGACATTGGGAAGGGGAATTCTGATATTGGGAAGCGGAACACCAGTTGTTCAGCTCAACTTGCTTCCGCCTAAACAGCGCCAGAGGAACAACAAGCATGGCAGCATGGGGCACCGTATGGAAAGTAACAACACAGCATGGCAGCATGCAACACAGCATGCAGCACAGCATGCAGCACAGCATGGAGCACAGCATGCAGCACAGCATGGAGCACAGCATGCAGCGCAGCATGGAGCACAGCATGCAGCGCAGCATGCAGCACAGCATGGAGCACAGCATGCAGCACAACATGCAGCACAGCATGCAGCACAGCATGCAGCACAGCATGCAGCACAGCATGCAGCACAGCATGCAGCACAGCATGCAGGACAGCATGCAGCACAGCATGCAGCACAGCATGGAGCACAGCATGCAGCACAGTATGCAGCACAGCATGCAGCACAGCATGCAGCACAGCATGCAGCACAGCATGCAGCACAGCATGCAGCGCAGCATGCAGCACAGCATGGAGCACAGCATGCAGCACAGCATGGAGCACAGCATGCAGCACAGCATGGAGCACAGCATGCAGCACAGCATGCAGCACAGCATGGAGCACAGCATGCAGCAAAGCATGCAGCACAGCATGGAGCACAGGATGCAGCACAGCATGGCAGCACGGCTCACAGCTGCTGCAGGGCAGTGCACTTGGCGACGACATCCAGAGAGCCGTTCAGCTGATTGGTCCACAGGTAGCTGAATGGGAGGGGGCGAGTGAGTGGGCGGACAGACGGCAGAAGAGGGGGGGCGGGATAAGGAGAGCGGGGGAGAGATTTCATAACCCTGTTGGAGTGAGCTAGAGCCAATAAGAAGTGTTTCATATCCCTGTTGGAGTAAACTAGAGCCGATCAAAAGTGTTTCATGACCCTGTTGGTGGACGAGTGATCAAGGAGCAAAGGACGTGAGAGAGAGGCACAGCGAGGGAGAAAAGGGGGAGGAGCAGAGGAGAAGGAGGTTGAGGAGGTGCAGGAAGGTGAAGGGATGACGCACAGGCCCTGCAGGTTGACGAGGTTGGAGAAGGAGGCAGGGATGGACCCCCTGAGCTGATTGCCGCCCAGCTGACTGCCGTGCAGAGAGCAGGCGCAGCACAGAGAGGGTGGGTAATGATGGCAGTGCAGAGAGAGCGATTGATGGGGGCGGTGGGGAGGGCAGGGGGGGAGGGGTTATGCCAGAGGGAAAGTGGGGAGGGGAGAGGAGGTGGGGGGAAGGGCAAAAGAAGGAGACAGCAGGATCGGAGCACAATGAGAGAAGTAAGCAGGTGGAACCATGTCAGAAGTCGCTTATGCATGTGGGAGTGGGTGGGAGTAAGAAGACGACGAAGAGAAAGACGAAGCAGGAAGGGAATGGCGTGGGGTGGAGGAGAGAGGAGGGTCAGAGGAGAGACAAGGACACAGAGAGACGACTACAGAGGGGAGGTGAGAAGGTGAGGAGTGAGGGGGGAAATATCAGACAGGGGATAAGTAGTAGGCATGGCATAAGAAGGAATGGGCAATGGAGGCATAAAGGCGGGAGGGGGTTACACGATGGTGAGAGCCGTGAGGAGCCCCAGGCTGGCAGGAATGCTGCCTTGCAAAAAGTTCTCACGCGCATACCTGATGGGGTGAAGGGAGAAGAGGAGGGGGGTGGAGGGGGGGTGGGGAGAAGTGGGGGGGGGGGGGGAAGGGGGGGGGTGTTGTGCAGGGTTTTGAGGCGCGTCAAAAGGGGGTTTTGAGAGCTGTGGGCGAGTTGGGTGGATGATTTGAGTGCAGGGGCTGCCTGGTGGAGGTGAGGCGGAGATGGGATGGGGACGGGGATGGGGAAGGGGATGGGGATGGGGATGGGGATGGGGATGGGGATGGGGACAGGGATGGGGACGGGGATGGGGACGGGGATGGGGATGGGGATGGGGATGGGGATGGGGATGGGGATGGGGGATATGCTGGAGCCAATTATGCTGTCAAGTGACTCACAGCGCTTGGAGATTCTTCAACTTGCCCAAGTTCGAGTTCAGCTCGCCTATCAGACCCATGTTGCCCACCTCCCTGCCAGGGCATACCGCACGCCGCATGCCACATGCCATGCCACATGCAACATGCCACATGCCACATGGCACATACCACATGGCACATAGAGTTTGCATGCCCAAAGTGCTGAAGCAAGACCAGGAACGAATGATAGAAAACAAGCCTACTGCAAATCACCTTACTATGTGGGACAGTTGACAGCACATGAAACATCACAAATGACACATGTCACAGGTCACATCTCACAGGTCACATGTGGCACATGCCGCATGTCACATGTCACATGTGGCATGTTACGTCACATGTCACATGTCACATGGGCACATGCCGCATGCAGGTGCAAGCATGCAGCGGGCTCACAGGTACACGAGGTTGACGAGGTCGCCGAACTGCGAGGGGAAGGAGCCTGCAAAGTAGTTGCGGCCCACCTCGCTGGCACAGACAGACAGGGGAGAGGGGGAGGACACGCATGGCATGGCACCGCGTGTGAGAGGATAGTGTTGGCTGGTGAAAGGGTGCGGATGATGAGGGGGGAACAGATGCACAGGTGGCATACTGCACACACCACGCATGCACACGCACACCCACACACGCGCGCACCCATGCACGCACACACGCACGCGCGCACCCATGCACACACGCACGCAGACACCCATGCAGACACGCACGTGTGCCTCAAGCAAGGAGAGCGTACAGCACTGTGAGGCTGGTTAGCCCGTAGATGGCCGGGGGAATGGCACCCGAGAACGAGTTGTTGAACACACTCCTGGCGAGGGGGCACAGATAAGAAAGACAGAAGGCAGGCTGACTGATGAGAGCGGACGCAGACACACAGGCGGGGGGAACAGGGTTGGAGGAACAGGGTTGGAAGAACAGGGTTGGAGGAACAGGGTTGGAGGAACAGGTTGGAGAAACAGGGTTGGAAGAACAGGGTTGGAGGAACAGGTTGGAGGAACAGGTTGGAGGAACAGGGAGGCCGTTGCAGTGCAGGCGAGGCGAGCACATGGGGAGCCCAGAGAGAAAGAGAGAGAGAAGAAGAAATGGGGCAAGGAATCATGCGGGGAAGTACGAAAGGTTATATAGCTTGGAGTGAGAGGGGCAGGGAGGGCGAGAGGCAGGAGCAGGAGAAGAGAGTGGGAATGAAGCGTGGACAAGGGGTACTCTTCACTCTGCTTGTGATGGCTCAGTAACCTTCTTGAGGAGCCTCAAACAGGGCCTGGAGGGGGATGCTTGTATGCACCCATGCGACTTGACTCACAGCTGCTGCAGCTTGGTGAGGCGGGAGATGGTGCTGGGCACATTGCCATCCAGTCGGTTCTGAGACACCGAGCTGAGAGGCGTCGTGGCAGAGGGGGGGTTGGGAAGGTGGAAGTGAGGGAGCGTGCGCAGGTGCTAGCTAGTGTGCGAACGAGAGAGATGGAGGTGGAAGGGAAGGGAGCAGGGTAGATGGGAGGATGGGTTCTCGTTCTCAGAATGTTGGGAGAAGCAACAAGAGAGCTGGAGAGGCGGATGATTTGAGAGGGTATATGCACTTGTGCACGCTATGGGCCAGCTGGAAGCATGGTGAAATGGCCGTACAAGTAAGTGAGGGAGGCGAGGTTTCCGATGGAGGAAGGTATGCCTCCTGTCAGGTTGTTGGCTGAGAGATCACTGCGACACGCATACGGAGGAGGAGAGTGGTAGGGAGGGAGGAGCTGAAGAACTTGAGGAGATCGCATGTTGGAGACTCTTCCTCCCTCCCTCACTTACTTGGTTGGTCACACTGGTTACAAGCCCTCGCCTAAATGGTTGGCTGACAAGTGACAGACAGGGGGAACGTGGAAACTAGGCAGAGCGTGGCGTGCCCGGGACAAGGATGGAGACCGCCACTAGTGCACTCATGCAAAGGAAGACTGGGAGGGTGAACAGGCTCAGAACAGAACAGGCCCAAAAACAAGCTGGAGAGCCCTTGGAGACTTGCCCACTTGTGCTGCTCTACTGTGAGTGGTGCGGTGGGTTCTAGTGTGGTGGCTCACAGGTATTGCAGCGAGAGGAGGCTGCCTATCGTGTCCGGAATGGAATCTCTCAGCATGTTGTTGTACAGCTCCCTGCAGTGCTCACACACACACACACACACACACACACACACACACACACACACACACACACAGATACACGCATGCACGCACACGCACATGCACGCACTCATGAATGCACACGCCCACACACACGTGTGTTCGTGTGTGTGAAAAACTTCTCCCCCACCCCAGTCCCCCCTCAAAAGGCACGCGAGAGCATGCTGATATGCACACGCATGCACAAGCAGAAGAATTGCAACGAGCAGCTACATGATACTCTGCATGCCCGCGTGCAGCAGCAAGCAGTGAGTGCCCATGGCATGGCAGCACCCATTTATGAGGGGCATGGAGGCCATGCGCACTCACAGGTGCGAGAGGCGCGTGGCAGCGCCTACTGACGCCGGGAGGAAGCCTGTGAGTGACTGGGACAAGAGGGCCCTGGCAGTAGCGCACGGGCGAAGGGGAGGGGGTGGGGGGGTTAGGGAACGGGACAGGAAGAGAGAGGGTTAGAGTGGAGAGAGGGGAGGAGAGAAGACGAAGACGGGAGCGAGCGGGAAGTTGAGGGAGAGATGGGTACAGGGAGCGCAGGCAGGCAAGGAAAAGATGGTCGAAGATCGCAAGAAAGGAACTATACACAGACGGGGCAACAAGCTGGGTAGCAAGCAATGCCATGGTTCACATGCTGGTGTGGTGAGCATGCCATGCCATGCCATGCGCTCACATGCTGGTGAGCATGCCGTCCTTGTCGCATTTCACGAAGGCTGCCTCGCTGCAGTTCGAAGTCGCGTCCCATCCGCTCAAGCTGCGCTTCCACGCCGCCTGGCACTCCGCCAGAAACGGCACTGCCCGGGGGGAGGAGGGGAGAAGGGGAAAAGGGGGGGGGGAGATTGCGGGGTTGGATAAGGAAAAAAGGAAGGAGAGGCGGAACGCGAGAGTGCGTGTAACTGATGAGGGACGGATGGTGCATTCTAAAAAGGAGCACTGCCCGGGGGGGAGGGAGGGGAGGGAGGGAGATTGAATCCCTGATAATGAGTACGAATGTACTACTAGTAGTACTAACGCACTCACGCTGCGACTTCGCCCACGGTTGCGCGCGCGCTAGCGGCGGGGAGGGGAAACACCCGGGTAGCACAGCCAGCGCGGCGACGACGGCGGAGAGCAGGCGGAGACGGGTGAGCGCATCCATTCCGGCTGACGGGGCATGAATAGTGGCCGCATGTGTTGGTCTCTGAAATTATGTCCAAATTTACGTTTGACCCAAGTGTTCTCTCAGTCCGGGTGGGATGATCTTAGGGCATGTCTAGTGCGTACGTCTGATTGCGGTTGGGCGAGGTGCGTCACGGATCAGAAGGATCTAAAAACAAATTTAATACGGCTCGGTAGAGTTTTGACCAAAAACGTACGCGCTGGACACGCCCTTATGGAGTGGTACATACGATCATGAACAGGGCACCGTTCGAACGGTCAGAACGGTACAGTGATCTCGAAAGCGGTTCTGACATGATTTAGACAGATAATCACGTGGTACAGTGTGGTCATGTCATGTGATTGGGAACTCCTGATTGTATATACTACGCTCGTAGGGCGTGGTACAATTGTCAAAATTGTACACATCAGGTACGCACTTTTAGAGAAGTTCCTTCATAACTTTGAACATTTTAGCACGTTTCGAACAATTTTAGCGTGGTGAAGTGCTCTTGTTCGCAATTACGTTCTCGCGCGCACCCATATCCCTTCTCGCTTGTAACTCGCCCTTAGGGCGTGTGGAAAGTAGATGCAAAACGAAGGGAACGACGGGAGCGAAGCGGAGGTGGAAACCCGTCGCAATTGTGGTTTCGCCATGGGTTCTCAGAAACTGTGTGTGGCAAGTAGAGAAGTCCAAACACTGACTGTGTTCTACAGGCATTTGACGTTGACGTCGACGTCTACATTGAGGAAGCTCCTTAAGCGACATCAAGAGCACTAGTTACCACCCAAACCAGGTGCACTTTCCCAACCTCGCTTGGAAGCCACGCGACCAAATTGTGGAAAGCGCAAGCGAAAGGAGAGAGGAGATAAATTCAAAAATGCGCAAAAACAAACTTCTGCCCCAAGGCAGGAGAGAAATTATCCGGGGCAAAATGACGAAAAAATGTTAAGCTGAGATATGACTCGTTGGCGATGGGTTTGTTCAGCTTTTTTTTTTTTGCAGGGCAGGCCCAAGCTCGCGAGAGGGGGTTAAGTGGTGGCGGTTGTATTTTTGGGGTGTGGAGGCCTAGTACACCCTTGCAGTTGATGTAACGCCACGCGCAAGGTGGACTTCGCGATTAAGCGAATGTCAGCATTGCGTCAGGTTTGCGCCAAATTTGCCCGGGAGGGAAGCGACGGGGGTGGTTCCCTTACGTAGATGTTGTCCGCAGATGGACCTATTCTGTAGGCATGTCGACGTAACTAGGTTCGGGTACGTTGTGCCAGGTTTGGACGAAAATTTGAGGGCTGACCCTCGATCCGAAGCAAAAAATCCCGCTTTCAGAATGTGCTCTGATGTAATATGCACTTTCCTTTTTTTCCTACAGAACGCAGCCACTGTGATGGGAGCGGAGCGGAGTTTCGAGGCAGGTGGCATACACAACAAGCATAAAAGAAATAACAAAATTGGCTACCCCAAGCCCACTGGAGAATTCACAAACCACAATCAAGCAACTTCGTCACCTGACAGGGAAACACCAAACCCAGACAATGAGCTGCTGGGAAAAGGAATCCCGAGCAGGCCAAAACTCTCGCGAGCCAAGGTCTGGCTGTGTGGGCAGCTTTGGTGAAAGTGGTTTGGTTGGCGAGCATCGCAAAAAGTGGAAAACCCAGGTCTGGACAATTTACAGCTTTGAGGGACAGACTCGGTTGGGCTGAAATTTCAGTTTGGGCAGTCAGTATACTAGTGTCCGTATGGCAAGTGTGCAAAACGACGGGGGCTCCCTTCCCAAAGTTGGGAGCCAAGGACGGGACGACGGGTAATGAATTTGGACGGGAGCCACACGCCCTTAGGGCGTCACAAAAGTTTGCTCCCTATACATTTGGACTTCAGATACCCGATTTTAGGCGAAACCCCCCGAAACGTGTAATGAATTTTACTCCTTACTGAAGTTATATTGCATTGCGTACGGAAGTCCGATTTTATTAATGTTGTAACAACAGCATAGAGTACAAGAGCAATATGACTACTATGTCAGAAGCCCAATAGAGAGCCCGTGAATGAGCACTAGCAATCCAGACCGAGGTCAGCAGCAGTGCCATGTGGCACCACCGTCCTGTACTTGGAGGGGAGATCTAAAGGGGGCGGAAGAAATCATCCAATAGCAAGGAAACTTTGAGGGCTGAATGGATTGATGGCGTCTGGTTTCTGTCGAACGTGAGGAACTGTCTGGAGGACGAAATTGAGATACGGTTCCTGGAGCGCAGTTGCTTCTTGTCGGAACAATTGAGACGTCGGGTAAAGTAGAGCCGGCACGCCGTTAGGGAGAGAGAAGGTACTTGAGCCAGCCTCGGAATGGCTAGTCTTCCCAGAGTTCGGACTTCCAAACTCAAGCACTCTCTCGCATACTGAAGTCCGAACTCTTGGAACACTAGCCATTCCGAGGCTGGCTGGTGCCACCTCCGAACCCTTCAACGGCACCTGCACCCAAGCTAGGCTCCTAAGGCCCTCGCTTAGCCATTACGCTTGCATGTATATTGCATTAGTAATGGCATTCGTTATTCAACACTTTGGCACACTCTCGATTATCGCTCATAACCCTTGGTATCAGAGCCTTCTTTCTTGTTTCATCCTGCTTTCTCATGCTAGATTATTTATGAGGTGTGATAAACCGTGCAGGGCTGCAAAGCGCTTCATCATGAGCTAGAGTTATTAGCTCACCCAACTACAATAGCTTTTGTGCCCCCTGTGATTCCTTGTCATGTGCCTTCCCGCTGCACGTTTGGCAAAATATTTAAATCGTTAATCTAGCTTAGTTCGACGAGCCTCTGGCTCGGATGTAGACAAAGTTTGCCACTTAGTTTTGGTAAGGTACATTGAAACAATAAGGTGTCGGCTTCCAGTTCTCATCTGCTTAACACCTACAAACTGACGGCTTAACCAAAGGGACCAGTCAGACCATGGAACAATTCACACGCGCCAACTACCCTGAACCTGCAAGGTGGGAGGAATTCCTGCCCATGATTGAAAACGATCCCCCTGGCCCCAAACCAAGCATGCATCACATGCACAGGGCTCGCAAGTGTATGGTTCGTGTAATGCGACCTCGTCCTTATGCTACTGCTCCGACTTCGACGAACCTGAACAAGCTGTGCACTACTACATCCAATGACCTTGCCACCATCCTCCAATGCTACCCAATGATTTTTCAAGACGACTTGCATGTCCGCCAGCCGCCCTCCTGCCCTAACAACCACACCATCTATTTCGAGCTAGGAGACCAATCGACAATGCAGCTGCAATTAAACGAGGCGCAGTACTACAATTGTAACAAGCTTACAGTGTTAGTGCACCTAGCCTGCAGTAATTTCACACCCTAAAGGCGCGAGTCGAATTTAACTTGCCACCCTGACCATTTCTAGGTGCGAAGAAAGTGTGCCCTTGTTCCTACGGCTTAATCTTGGCAGCGTTGCCAAGTTGCCCGACGTCGAATTTCCACCTAACGTCAAGTTTCCTGACGCGAGACACGCTAAAATTGTGTGGAAAACATTGCATATTGAATTCCATGCTTCTTTGTTTTCCGTCATTCAAATCATGCTTTTCGAGGGGGGGAATACAACTACAAGTGTTGTACCCCCTAAGTGCTGACCTAGCTAGGATATAACCACATATACACAACAGTAACAAGGATACATTTGTTAGTTGGCACACGCAGCGTCTAACGAACCAGAGCAAACCAGGGCAGCACCACTAGTTTGGCCTCCAGTGGATGCAACACAAAAACTAAAAGCATCACTACTAGTCTGTCCACTGAGGTAGGGGCCAAGAGGCCAATCAACAAGTGTAACAAGACAAGCAAGTATAGCCCAAGTGTAGAAAGACAGGCAGGTATAGTCTAGTATAGAATAAGTTAAGGATACAAGCAAGTGAGAGACTACAAGTAATAGGCCAAGTCGAGTGCAAACCCACTGATAAGTACAAGGAGGAAGCTCCTTGGTGAAGATATCAGCAGTATTTGCTTATGTGGAAACGTGCACTACGCGAGCCTGGCTGCACTGCAGCAACTCAGCAGCAGGAAGTACCGCAGCTAGATATGGTTGGCCTTGCCCTCAAATTGAGCCTCCTAACACAGGAGGATCATGGCCCTATTGTCAGCAAACAGGTTCGGGGCGGACCTGTGCCGCTCACCTAAGTCGGTGAGTAGGAATGTCAACCAGTGGAGCTCCTGAGCAGCCATAGCTCCAGCGTAGATCTCAGTCTCACAGCTGGACCATGCCATAACGGCAATCAGGTGGGTCTCCAAGAGACAACACCCGATTCAAGGCTAAAGCACTAGCCTTGAGACGACCGAAGACTTTCGAGGTCGTCAGCCCATGACGCGTCAGTGTGTCCTGAGATGATAACTCATGCATGCCATCCCAGCACAAGCCTCATGCCTGATGTGCTCGCCAGATACCGCAATACCTTTTTAGTGACAGACCAGTGCTCTGGTCTGTATCTGCCAATCGAACCCCAAACCTTTCAGATCCGTAGTCTGATGCTCTACCCACGAAGCAAGAGAGGATGCTAAGAGGGTACGCAAAATCTGGAGGAGTGAACATCATCAGGTACATGAGGCAACCGACAAGTTCTGCGTAAGGATCGCTGGGCTCAACCGGCTCACTAGAAGAAGGAGCTGAGAACTTGTAATCTTGAACTAGAGGGGTGGGTTGTGCTGAGGAGAATTGGAGACTAGACCTCTGAAGGATCTGGTGAACCATGTGGGACTGGGAGAGGGTGGCTGTGCAAGTGGCAGGATCACGAGAGATCTCCAAGCCCAGATAACGCCGCAACTCCCCCAGGTTAGTGGAGGGTGTGCTTCCTAAGTAGCTCGGCCTTCACTGAGGCCAGTGCGTCTCTATCAAGAGTAGCAAAGATCAGATCATCTACATACGCTAGAATGTAGAACGGGACCTGATCAACATGAACAAATAGCGAGGGATCAGCAGAGGCTGGGAAGAACTGGAGGGTCGCTAGCATGGTGCGGAGTGTGTCGTGTCACTTATGAGGTGCCTGCCGC